CTCAATCCCCTACCCTCGCATCCTCGAACCTCGGATCCCGATCCTCGAACCTCGATCCTCAATCCCCTGCCCTCGCATCCTCGAACCTCGAATCCCGATCCTCGAACCTCGATCCTCAATCCCCTACCCTCGCATCCTCGAACCTCGAATCCGATCCTCGAAACCTCGATCCACAATCCCCTGCCCTCGCATCCTCGAACCTCGAATCCCGATCCTCGAACCTCGATCCCCAATCCCCTACCCTCGCATCCTCGAACCTCGAATCCCGATCCTCGAACCTCGATCCTCAATCCCCTACCCTCGCATCCTCGAACCTCGGATCCCGATCCTCGCACCTCGATCCTCAATCCCCTACCCTCGCATCCTCGAACCTCCTCGACCTCGGATCCCGATCCTCGAACCTCGATCCTCAATCCCCTACCCTCGCATCCTCGCACCTCGGATCCCGATCCTCGAACCTCGATCCTCAATCTCCCTACCCTCGAGTCCTCGAACCTCGGATCCCGATCCTCGCACCTCGATCCTCAATCCCCTACCCTCGCATCCTCGAACCTCGAATCCCGATCCTCGCACCTCGATCCCCAATCCCCTACCCTCGCATCCTCGCACCTCGGATCCCGATCCTCGAGCCTCGACCCTCGAATCCCCTGCCCTCGCATCCTCGAACCTCGGATCCCGATCCTCGAACCTCGATCCCCAGTCCCCTGCCCTCGAGTCCTCGAACCTCGGAGCACCTCGATCCTCAGTCCCCTGCCCTCGCATCCTCGCACCTCGGATCCCGATCCTCGAACCTCGATCCCCAATCCCCTACCCTCGCATCCTCGCACCTCGGATCCCGATCCTCGAACCTCGATCCTAAATCTCCTCGCACCTCGGATCCCGATCCTCGAACCTCGATCCCCAATCCCCTACCCTCGCATCCTCGCACCTCGGATCCCGATCCTCGAACCTCGATCCTAAATCTCCTACCCTCGAGTCCTCGAACCTCGGATCCCGATCCTCGCACCTCGATCCTCAATCCCCTACCCTCGCATCCTCGAACCTCGAATCCCGATCCTCGCACCTCGATCCCCAATCCCCTACCCTCGCATCCTCGCACCTCGGATCCCGATCCTCGAGCCTCGACCCTCGAATCCCCTGCCCTCGCATCCTCGAACCTCGGATCCCGATCCTCGAACCTCGATCCCCAGTCCCCTGCCCTCGAGTCCTCGAACCTCGGAGCACCTCGATCCTCAGTCCCCTGCCCTCGCATCCTCGCACCTCGGATCCCGATCCTCGAACCTCGATCCCCAATCCCCTACCCTCGCATCCTCGCACCTCGGATCCCGATCCTCGAACCTCGATCCTAAATCTCCTACCCTCGAGTCCTCGAACCTCGGATCCCGATCCTCGCACCTCGATCCTCAATCCCCTACCCTCGCATCCTCGAACCTCGAATCCCGATCCTCGCACCTCGATCCCCAATCCCCTACCCTCGCATCCTCGCACCTCGGATCCCGATCCTCGAGCCTCGACCCTCGAATCCCCTGCCCTCGCATCCTCGAACCTCGGATCCCGATCCTCGAACCTCGATCCCCAGTCCCCTGCCCTCGAGTCCTCGAACCTCGAATCCCGATCCTCGAACCTCGATCCTCAATCCCCTACCCTCGCATCCTCGACCTCTCGAACCTCGGCCCTCGGCCCCTCGACCCTCGAAACCCCGACCCTCGACCCTCGACCTCCTCCTCCTCCTCCTCCTCCTCCTCCTCCTCCTCCTCCTCCCTCCTCCCTCCCTCCTCCTCCTCCTCCTCTCCTCCTCCCTCCTCCTCCTCCTCCTCCTCCTCCTCCTCCTCCTCCTCCTCCTCCTCCTCCTCCTCCTCCTCCTCCTCCTGGTCGCCCCAGTGTGACCCATTTGCGCGCCGTCCCCGTTTGCGGTGCCCCGGGCCCCCGGCGCACAAGCACAGCTTCTCACCGGCAGCCGACTGCAGTGGCCCGGCGTGCAGCCAAGGCCCAGGCTCTTCTTTAAGCCAGCGTTCGTGCCCGCGCACCGCTTGGTGTATGGTTTGTCAGTCAGTCAGTCAGTCGACCCTCGATGGACTCCCCCCCCCGCACACTGGGGCAACCCCTCCGACGCCGCCCCACGAGCGTGGCTCTTCCGTTCCGGAGCGTCGTTGCGCACATCCGGTGATGATGAAGTCTTGTGACTTCGGTGTGTGCCTCCGTGGCCCCGCAGTGGCTCGGCGCCGCCGCGGCAGCGGGTGGCGCTCAAAAAGCATGCAGCTCTGGCCACCACTTGCACTCTTGTGGGTGGGCCAATGGCGCGGCGAGTCCGCACGACAAGCAACAGTGAGCTTCCGGGTTCATTTTGCTCTGTTGTTCACCTCTGGATGCAGGGTCTGATGCCTCCACTCCGTGGGGGTGGGGAGGGGGCGCAACACGCACGCAAGAAAAGGTCCTTCCCAAATATTCCCAGTGGCCTTCAGCGAATCCTAAGCAGGCGAGCCCAGAATCGAATCGATGAATCGGATCGGCGATCGACATGGATCGGATCGGCGGAGTGGGCCTCCAAAGAGGCATCGGGATCCGAATCGGCATCCGAAGTCGAATCGAATCGGAGGAATCGAACTGAGCCCTGCCAGGAGCCGCAGTCTTCTCAAGACCCCACCCTCGCTGTCTCAACCCACCCCCCTCTCAATTTCGACGCGCGCCGCCCCGCGGGCCCGCGCCGCCTCCGCGTACTTGCCCATGGCCTGGCCTCGCAGGCGCTGGGCCCGAGCCGGGCCCGGATCGGGCGGCCACCCGGCGGGGCGGGCGCCCCCGAACACGGCCCGCTGGTCCAGGCGCGGGGCGCGGGGGGGGGAGCCAGACGCCGGGCGCTCTCAAAGACCTGGCGCCCTCGCCCTTTCTGGGCGCGATTCGCTCACGGATCCCACGTGGCCCCGCAAGGCTGGTGGGCACCTTCGGGGGAACCACGGGGCCTCTCGGGGTCGGGGCCGGGGGGGGGCCCAGAGACCCAGCGCTCCAACTTTTCGATGCGTGGACCCCCGGAGGTTTGGACCACCTCCTCGGGGCTGGCCTGTCGTCCTGAGCCGTTTTCTGTAGAGTGTCCCCGGGGCCCGTTTTGAGGGTCCCCCGCGAGGCCGAAAGCACTCCCACGACTGGCCGCTCCAATAGTTGTTTCGAAGCCTCGGACCAGTGGGTTCTGGGAAGGCGGGGGAGGCAGGAGGGCCCAACATCGAATCGATAGGTCGGATCGACGGTCGATGTGGATCGGATCGGCGGAATTCGGCAGCAGGCCAATAGACATATCGAGGCGGCGGACATCGGCAAGCGAATGGGCCTCCACGGAAAAGTCGGAATCCATATCGGAATCCCACGTCGACTGTAATAGGCCTCCTGGATGGCGTCGGAATATATGGGGTCGGACAATCGCGCCGCATCGCCGATGCACCGTCGACGCATCAGCGATCCATCGGCGACGCATCGGCGATGCATTGGCGATGCGTCGGCGACGCACCAGCGATGCATCGTCGACGCGGGCGGTGCATCGGCGCCGTCGACGTCGCGCAAAGCGGTTTTTAGATCGAGCCGCATCGGAGATGCATCGGCGATGCGGCACGATCCTCCGACCCCATCTGCCCCGAACCCATCCGGGAAGCCTAGAACTTCGAGCCCGGAGTCGGACGCCATCGAAACCGAATCCAATCGTATCGCATCGGGGTCGAGACGACGGTGATGATGCTGATGAGGTTGATGATGGTGACGACGACTATGATGAAAATTACGATGAAGACCATGATGACGATGATGATGGAGTCGATTGTAACCCGGGGGGGGCGAGGATCGTGGTCCTTCCTCTCCGGGGCCCTGCTGTCTGGGCTCGCGCGGCGGCTGCCGCGGGATCAGCGCGTTCCGCGTGGCGCAGCCACCGCCGGTCGTCCGACGCGCCCGTGCGGCCAGCGTCCTCGCCCCTCGCGCAGTCGATGGCGACGCCCTTGCGCAGCGTCTGGCTCTGCGACAACGCGCGCGTGAGGTAGGGCGCGCGCGCCGCGGTGAACCCCGAGCGGCGCGCGGCGTGCGGCCCCGAGCTTCGCCGCGTGAGCTCCTGCTCGCTGGGCCCGGACATCAGCGAGCTCTGCGCCCGCGCCTCGGCCTGGCCGTCGTCGTCGGCGCCTTCGGCGCCCTGTCGCAGCAACTCGGCGATCTCTTGGTAGATCGGAGACTCCTTGAATCCGCGCACCTGCAGCCAGATCTCCTGCAGTAGGAAGCGGGGGCGAATGAGCTGGCCTGGCGAGCACTCCTCGCAATTCTGCGAGTCGTCGGGGTGGAACTCGAAGGACGCGACGGTGGCCCGCTGGTCCTGCACGAGCTCCGGCCTCTCCTTCAGCTCTTCCTGCGCTGCTGTAGGCCGCGCCTCCATGCCGACGTGGGCCAGCAATGCGCTGTGTTATGTCGTCAGTTTTGCACTTGTTCGGGACGTTCAGGAGGCGCCGACGCGCGTCGGGATCGCCATGGATCGCGTTGCACTCGTCCACGGCCTGCAAGAAAACAAGGGGCACGCCCAGACGCCGCACATCGCGACGAGCGCGCGTGTTGATCCACCTCGCCAGCGTCTCCCAGTAAATGCCCATGCAGTAGCCGAGCCGAAAGTTATCGTGCTTGTGCCGCGGGTCCAGGACGCCGTGGTTGTCCGAGGTCAACGTCTTCTCCCAGGCGGACCAGACCTCTGGCGGGAAGGGATTGCCCTCGCGCGTGCAGCCCAGCAACGTGATCAGGGTCCCAAGGCTAGAGTCGCTTCGTGCCCCTCAGCTCCCAGACGCAGGTGATCTGAGAGAAGACCTTGATGGCGTGCTGAATCTCAGTATCAGATTCCCGATGACCCGCTCGGATTACTCAGTTGAGCTGCGGGCCCCATAGGGAGGGGGCTCCCGCCTAACACTTCGTCACAAGTTACTCACAAACGACGCTCCCGCCTCATACTTCCCCCATTTACAAACCTCAAGGGCGCGGAAACGACGACAGTTACAACTTTCCGATTTCCAGCCTCGGATTCGAACGTGAACTGCGGGCCCCATAGGGAAGGGTCTCCCGCCTGAAACGTCCTCGCAATTCACTCACAGACGAAGCTCCCGCCTGATAGTTCCCCCATGTTCGAGCTTGTGGAGCCCAAAAGTGACGACAGATATAAGTGACCCGCCTCGGATTCGAACATGAAGCGCGGGCCCCATCGGAAAAGGGTTCCCGCCTGAGACTTCCTCGCGATTCACTCACAGACGAAGCTCCCGCCTCATACTTCCCCCAGATTCATGCCTCGGGGGGCCAAAAGTGACGATGACTCGTTCTGATAACTCACATGAGCTGCGGGCCCCATAGGGAGGGGGCTCCCGCGTGAGACTTCCTCGCAATTCACTCGCAAACGAGGCTTTTGTCCGATACTTCTACCATTTTCAAGCCCCAGGGGCCCAAAAGTGACGACAAGTGCAGGAGGCCGACGACCCGCACATATTACTCATATGAGCTGCGGGCCCCATAGGGAGGGAGCTCCCGCCTCAGACTCCCTCGCAATTCACTCACAGACAAAGCTCCCGCCTGATACTTCCTCCATATTCGAACTTCTGGAGCCCGAAAAAGACGACAAGTGCAGGAGGCCGACGACCCGCTCGGAGTACTCACGTGAGCTGCGGGCCCCACAGGGAAGGGGCTCCCGCCTGGACTTCCTCGCAATTCACTCACCGACGAGGCTCCCGCCTGATACTTCCTCCACATTCAGGCCTCAAGAGCCCAAAAGCGATCACAGTTGCAGGAGGCCGGTGACCCGCTCGAATTACTCATATGAGCTGCGGGCCCCATGGGGGGGGGTTCCCGCCTCAGACGTCCTCGCAATTCACTCACAGACGACCAGACGAAACTACCGCCTGATACGTCCTCAAAATGAGTATGTGCGCGTGTGAGTGATGATGATGATGACGACGATGTGATTGATGATGGTGATGCTTGTGATGTGAGGTGTGATGATGGTGATGAAGGTGGTGGTGGTGATGGTGTGAGTAGTTGAGTGACTGTTGATGAAAATGATGTAGTGAACGATGATGAGGAGGTTGATGGTGTTATGATGGTGATGGTGTGTGACTCATTGAGTGAGTGTGCAAAGGGCGCAGGGCTCATGAGGTCTGTATCGACTCATTGAATGAATGAGTGACGACGATGATGATGATGGTGCTGGGGATGATGTGTGTGAGTGAGTGGGAGGTGGGTGTGTGATGTAAGTAAAGGAGTGATGATGCTGAGTGAATGTGAGTGTGAGAGCGAGTGGTTGAATGTGTAAGTGATGATGGTGTGGTGGTGGTGGTGATGATGATGATGGTGATGATGGTGATGATGATGATGATGATGATGATGATGATGATGATGATGATGATGATGATATTGATGATGATGTTGATGTGACTGCGTGCGTGTGTGAATGTGTATGCAGTGAGTGACTGAGTGAGTGAGAAGAGAGACGGTGTTCCTGTTCCTGTGTTCCTGCGCGGGGTGTCCAAAGAAAGCAAGAAGCCCACCTTGGATTGGGGGAAAAGAGCAGTCCCCGTTTCCCGTGTTCGGTGTCGTGCCCTTGTTTTCCGCCAGGTGCTGCCGGATGCTCCTCGAGGGCCCTCGCCGAGAGAAAAAGTGCACGCGTCCGAGAGCGCGGCGCCGAGGAGAGCTGGCCGAAGACGAGCGCCGGGGGGGGGGGGGGGAAATGGGGAATGGGAGGGAGCAGGGGGGGCGGGGAGGCGGGGGAGCGGGGGAGGCGGAAGGGGGGGCGGGAACGGGGGAGGGAGCAAGGGGGGGCGGGGAGGCGGAGAAGGAAGATGGTGCAGCGCAACGCTGCCGCACGAACTCCTGAGGCAACACCTGCCCAGATTGGACGCCATGGGGGCGGGGGGGGAACTGAACCATCTCCCGCGAAATGAAAGCCTTAGCCGGCGGCAGACCTTTCGGCAACACCTCGAGCTGAGACTCGGGGGCGCCGAGTGGCCCGGACGGCAATCAGGCGCGGCTCCTGAAAACGCCCGGGACTAACTGCCTCAAGCGCCACAGAGAACGCGAAGTGCACTCCTCCGCAGAGGTGGGAAGAGTGAGCAGGCTTACCAGCTAAGTGAGGCGTCCTGACTGGGAGGTGACCAAGGCCCAAGGATCTCCGATGCGATCACGATCAAACAGCGGCCTGAAAGACTGCGTCCGTTTTACCTGAGCGGCGCTCCCCCCGTCACCACCAAGCTCAAGCGCCCCTTCCCCGTCCACAAAGGAGGCCAAACACCTGCGGGCTCGGATGGAGGGGGAGGAGTCGGAGATCCTGCCCTGGCAACGCGAGCATCTCCAGCGACCTTCATCAAACTGCCAAGTGTGAGAACTGGCTCGAACGACGCACTCCGTCAAACGGCGACGACGGAGCACTCGGTCGATCGGTTGCTCGTCGGCGCCACAAGTTTCCGCCTAAACATGGTGGCTCTGAACTGGACTGGCAACCATAATCTGGCATCATCTGCAACCGAACCGGCCGAACCGCAGCCCTAACTGAACAGGTCGGAGCCGAACCCCCTGGGGGGTCCCTGGCGGGTCTGGGGTGGCTGGGGGGCCCTGGAGGGGCCCTGCGGGGTTCACGGGGGGTCCTGAGAGGTCCGAGGTGGCCCTGCGGGGTCCTGTGGGGTCCTGCGGCGTCCTGTCGGGTCCTGCGGGGTCCTCGAGGGCGCGAGGGGTGAGAAGCCGGAGCGT